CCCAGGGAAGTTACCTGCTTAATAGAACAACAACAAAAAAAGTCCTCAGAAAAACAAAACAGATTTCAAAGTACTGCAACATAATATATACGATGTTAAGTTTTCAGCCAAAACTTACTAGACATACAAAGAAGTGGGGCCATGCAATCCATATTCAAGATAAAAAACAGTTAACGGACACAACTTCAAGTGGGCCCAAATAATAGATTTAGCAAACAGACTTAAAAACAGCTATTATATATTCTAAGAAATGAAGGTAAGCATAATATTAGTGAACAGATAAAATGGAAACTTTATTTTTAAAAGAAAACAAAAAGAAATTCAAAAGTTAAAAAGTACAGTAACTGAAATGAAAATTTTACTAGTTCGGTTTAGCAGATACTGAGATGGTGGAAAAAAAGAATCAAGTTGAAGATAGATCAATAGAAATTATTCAGTTTGAAGAATAAAGAGAGAAAAGACTGGAAAAAATGCACAGTGTCTCAGTATAAAACAGTATCAAACAGTTCCACATGGAGTTGGAGTCCTAAAGAGTGAGAAAGGGGCAAAAAAGTATTTAAAGAAATAATGGCCAGAAACTTCCCAAATTTGGTGGAAAACATTAATTTACAGATCCAAAAAGCCTAAAGAACCCCAACTCGATAAACACAAAACTACACCGAGGTTCATATAGTCAAACTGCTAAAAGATGAAGGTAAAGGAAAAATCTTGAAAGCAGCAAGAGAAGAATGCTACATACAGGGGAACCAGGCAAACCAATGGTTGCTTAACAAGGTTGCAGCGTGCAAAATAAACATACAGAGATAAATTGTATTTCTTTATACTGGCAATTAGATACAATATCAATTACAATTCAATACCAATCACTAGAAAAATGAAAGATATAAGTCTAACAAAACGTGTATGGGACTTACATGCTGAAAACTATAAAATGCTGATGAAAGAAACCAAGTATCTAAATAGGCTTATTGGAAGGCCAAAATAGTAGAGATGTTAATTCTCTCCACATTGATACACAGGTTTAACATATATCCCAACAAGATTTTTTGTAGATCTACACAAAATGATTCTGATATATAGAAAGACAAAAGTACTAGAATAACTAAAACAGTTTTGAAAAAGAATAAAATGGAAAGAATCAGTCTGATTTCAAAACATTATACAGCCATACTAATCAAGACTGTGTGATATTGACAGAGGTATAGACATATCAATGGAACAAAGTAGAGAACTCAGACCAACACAAGTATGCCCACTAATTTTTTACAAAGATGCAAGAACACTTCAATGGAGAAGAGGGAGCTTTTTCAACAAATGATGCTGGAGCAATTTGACATCCATAGATTTTTAAAAAAATGAATCTCAATATAAAGCTCACATCTTACACAAAAATTAACTGAAACCGTAAAACTCTACAACTTGGTGGGAAAAAACAGGAAATCATAGGAGGGATCTAGGGCTAGGCAGAGTTCTTAGACTTGACACCGAAAGCGTACTTTATAAAAGGGAAAAATAATAAATTGGACTTCATCCAAAGTCAAAACTTCTGCTCTGGGAAAGACATTGCTCAGGGGATGAAAAGACAAATTACAGACTGGGAAAAAAATTTGCAAACCACATATCCGGGAAAAAAAAAAAAAACTACTAAAATACATAAACTTTCAAAACTTAGAATTAAAAAAAAAAAGTCCAGTTAGAAAATGGGCAAAAGGGGCACCTGGGTGGCTCAGTCGGTTAAGCGGCTGCGGCTCAGGTCATGATCCTGGAGTCCCGGGATGGAGCCCCACATCGGGCTCCCTGCTCAGCAGGGTGTCTCCTTCTCACTCTGACCCTCCCACTTCTTGTGCTCTCTCTCTCTAGAGAGAGAAAGAGGAAGGAAGGAAGGAAAGGAAAAAGGAAAGGAGAAAGAAAAGAAAGTGGGCAAAAGAGGGATGCCTGGGTGCCTCAGTCGGTTAAGCGTCTGCCTTTGGCTCAGGTCATGATCCCAGGGTCCTGGGATCAAGTTCCACATGGGGCTCCCTGCTCAGCGGGGAGCCTGCTTCTCCCCTGCCTGCAGCTCCCCCTGCTTGTGCTTGCTCTCTCCCCTTCTCTCTCTGTGTGTCAAATAAATAAATAAAATCTTAAAAATCTTAAAAAAAAGAAAGAAAATGGCCAAAAGACATGCAGGTATTTCATTGTAGAGCATATACAGATGGCAGTTGAGTACATGAAAAGATGTTTTAACATCATAAGCCATTAGAGAAATGCAATTAAAACCACAAGATAACCATAATAAATAAGTGACACCAAATTCTAGTAAGGATGCAGAGATACTGGATCACTTATACACTGCTGGTTAAAATGTAGTAATAGTAATTCTGGATCCCATTTAGCAGTTGCTTTAAAAATTAAACATGCAACTACTACACTACCCAATGAATTGCATTCCTGGGCATTTATCCCAAAGAAATGAAGACTTATGTTCACACAAAACTTGTACACTAATGTTTATAGCAGTGTTATTCATAGTAGCCAAAAATGGAAATAAGCCAGATATCCTTTAATGAATGAATGGTTAAAGTGTGGCACATCCATACCACGGAATACTACTGAGTAACCAAAAGGAATGAACTATCAATAAAAGCCTGGAAGACACTCCAGAAAATTATGCTGAGTGAAAAAAGCCAATCCACAAAGGTTACATACTATATGATTCTATTTATGTAACATTTTTGAAATGACAAAATGGAAATGGAAAACAAATTTGTGGTTGCTGGGTGGTTAAAGAGGAGTTGGAGGTGAGAGGAGGGAAGTGGGCTATACAAGGGCAACATGAGGGATTCTTGTAGTGATGGAAATGTCTGTATCTTGACTCTTATCAGTGTCAATACCCTGGGTGTGATACTGTACTATAAATTTGCAAGATGTTTCCATTGGGAAGAGCTGGGTGAAGGGTACATAGGATCTCTCTATTTTTTTATAACCACGTGTGAATCTACAATTATCTCAAAATGTTTAATTAAAAAAGAAAAGTGATTTCTGAATCCCCACCTTTCTGGTTTCCATCAGAAAACCGTAGAATGGCATATTTAAACCACAGTAGACCTTTTCCAGCCTCTTGACTTGTAAGCTACCACCAAACCTCAGCCGCGTGCATATGTTTTTCCAGACTGTGGGCTTTTTAATGGCATTCAGCTGATAATGAATAGATAATTTCTTGATCTGGACTACCCTTGTTATAAAGAGGCAGTAGGGATGATGATCACAGTGGGGGTGGTGATGATAGTGACAAAAAGAAGTTCAAGATAAAAGTTACTGACTTCTCTAGTACCTCATGCTATTTTTTTCTTTTTGACCACATCTCAGGAAGTTTGATATTGTTACTGTTTCTTTTGAAAATATACATATATTTTTCATCTGCAACTTAATTGATAAGAGCAAAATTGATTTAGAGCTAAGTGATAAGTAAAAGTGAAAGTAAGTTGTTTAAAACAAGGTCATGCTTGCTGTGTGCAGACAACCTTCACTTTTTCTAGTGGTTATATCTCTCTGCCTGTTGCGGGGCCATGATACAGTGTCACTCACCTTTACACAGTCAACCAGTTCCACTCCACAGCCAGTCATCGTGTTTGTTGTACTGAGACATGAAAACTAAGGATAACAGAAATGGCTCTCTGTGTATTCTTTCTCCCCAAGGCCTGTCCTTTAATCCAGCATGGTAAACTGAAGTGAACTTTTTCAATGAGTGAGATAGAACCTCTTCCTTCTTCATACACTTGTGCCAGCTTTTCCACCTATGACCACCTATGAAAATGGGAAAGCTAAGGGTTGGGAGTCTTGGCAAGTCAAAATCTCCCTAGGTCTGAGCCTCTTCTTGGTTGTTAATTACATCTTCCAACAACGCTGAGTAACAGTGAACGTATGTAATTAAAGAAAAAGACAGCTAAAGCGTGGAGCTGTATTTCATTCACTCAGTATCCAGGCAGAGGTCATTTAGGGAGGAAACAGTTAAGTCAGCATGGCCCCATACACCTAATATTCTTAGTGTTAATATCATTTTAACCAGTGGCTTAAAGAATTAGCCTATAGAAATACTGTTTGGCACCACTGGTACCATTTTGTGTTGGTCCCAACTGTAAATATTAATGCCGCTTCTTCCTCCTTACCACTTCTATCTCTTGTCACCCAGAAGTCTCCATCTTCTTTTCAAATTTTCTTTAGTCCTACTACTCTTATCTCTGTTACACTTAACCTGGTTTATTTTAGACTGGTAAGCCTTGGCCCATTATACCCTTCAAGTAACCATTTATGTACAAGTGATCTTCCTTTTCCTTACAAGGGCCCTGTTTTTAACACCACTGTGGTAGGCTGGAACATGCCAGCATCTGTTGCTGAGGCAGTGAGTTCTCCATAGACTGAGAGGACAAGCGGGAGGAATAGTAGTCAGTTTCTTGTTGACTTACTCAGTAGTTGGGGGGAGCTGGAGTTAGAGAATGATGTTTTAGAAGAGGCTAGGTTTATGTGATCTTGCTGGGTTTATTTTTTGTTCTTTTGTCTGCTTTTGAAAAGGAAGGCAAAACATTTTTTTAGTGCCTACCCTGACCCTGGTCCTTTAGGTGTGTTAACTATTTTGTCCTTAAATGATAATGGTAATAATAATTAATATATGTGTAGTGCTTTATAGTTGGTAACAAGAGTTCTTATATATGATTTCAGTGATCTTCACACCCATCGGAGATGAGTAAATAGAAACTCTGAAGTTTCACAGCTTCTCAGAGCCAGTCTCCACATTTACTGTCTTCTCCAAATTCCGTGTTCCTTTGCCTAGGCCACATTGCTTCTTGGGGGTGTATAGTTTCCCTTCGGTTGTAAGCAGTAGAAACGCAGGATTCCAGCATTTGCATTCTTTCCTGAACAGCTCAGCAAAGGAAAGGGGTAGTTATGAGACTAGAAGGTGGATGAGAACAGACCATGAGGGTCCAAGCTCCCTTGCTGAGGTTTTATCTTTTCTTTCATTTCAGGATGGCGATGACACGGAGAACTATGTTCCAGAAGGGGGAGGTGCATAACAAACCGTCAGGATTCTGGGGAATGATAAAAAGTGTTACCACTTCAGCACCAGGAAGTGAAAGTATCCTTTATCACTCTGCTTGATTCTTTTTCTCAACTCTGGACCAAGGCCAGAAGACAAAAGTAGTATTGGGATGGTCTCTCCTAAGGTACCTGACTGCATCAGAGTCCAGCTGGCCAGGGCTAGGCTTAGGAAATACAGAGTCAATCTTTCCAACACCCCTAAAAGATCATAAAACCATTGTCCTTGAGCTGAAGAAGTCCTAAAAATCACTCTTTCCATTTTACAGATGAGAAAATAGACCCAGAGCAGTTAAGCCACACTGTGGCTTGTGGCAAAGATAGGCACTCCTCTTAGTTCTTTCCACTACACTCTTCTATTTCCTGGGTCTGACCAAGCAGCATAAAATATAGTGGCTCCCTAAAATGGATGGTTTGTATATGTAGGGAATGGTAAGGGCCTATTTCTAAAGCAATCAGTATTTCTAAACAAATTTTAAGCAGCACTGTATCTTTAGTGACTTTTGGTTTAAAGAATCAAGATGATTGGGTTAATGGATTGTTCTTGGCCCAGCCTTGCAGTGTTAAACTGATGCCCACATTGAGTAACAAAATCTCTTTGTGCTACCAGACTATTAAGTCAAAACTTGGGGGGCCTGAAGTGAGATGGCATATTCCTGCTTCCTTCTCTAGCCTGAGGAAGTACAAATTCCCTTTTGCTTCAACTGGAGGAGAAGGATGTAATCTGTGCTTGCTATAAATTGGGGCAATCTTTCTGGTGTTAAATGTAGGTAAAAATTAGGTCAAAGAAAGGCAGGATGACATGACCACGAGAGAGGAAAAACAGGATTACATTGAATTCATTTAATCCAGAAACATTTATTTCATGCCCCCTATTTCCAGGCAGAGTCCTAAGGGATAAAATGATGAACAGAGTGTACTCTCTCTCCTCAAGAAGCTGACTATCTAATCATGGGAGAGGCAGACATGGAACTAGTTAAACCCTGTTGTTTGACTGCCTGGACCATGAGAGTAGCAGCCACTTTGAGGAAGGAGCTGAAGGGCACTCAGTAACTTGAGTACTACAGGCATACCCCAGAGATGTTACAGGTTTGGCTCCAGAACATCACACAAAAGCACATATCACAATGAAGCGAGTCAGATGGATATTTTGGTTTCCCAGTACATATAAAAGTTATGTTTATACTGTATCCTATTGAGTGTGCAAGAGCATTCTTTAAAAAAAACAGTATAAAAAGTGCTAACCATCATCTGAACTTTCAGTGAGTGGTAATTTTACTGATCACAAATCCCCATAACAAATATAATAATAATAATAATAATAGTAATGATGATGAAAAAGTTTGAAATAAGGTGAGAATTACCAAAATGTGATACAGAGACGCAAATGGCACCAATAGACTTGCCCAACAGGATTGCCACAACCTCCAATTTAAAAAAAAAAAAAAATCTGCAAAGTACAACAGAATGAGGTATGCCTCTAGTGAGAAAAATCAGAGTAGGGAGGATTTGGATCAAAGTGAATCTTCCAACTTGGGCTGTCTTCACTACTTTTATTAGTTAAAAGTCCATAAAAGCCAAAGTTTAGGTTTAAGCTATCTTACTGACAATAAGTCAAGTCAGTAAAAGTATCGGGATTATTTCACTTCTCTGAGCCCCTGTCTCCTAAATGGAGAAAATAATAGGTACGTTCTTGGAAGTAAGTTCTTGGAAAGTAGCATAGTGTAATGGAAAGAACAGGCCTTGGAGGAAGGCAGATCTGACTTGGCATCCACACCTGTTAGCTGCATGATTTTGAGCAATTTACTTGACTCTCTGAGCTTTGCTTTCCTTATCTGCAAAACGGGTAATAATACCTATCTCATGGGACTGTTAGGAGAATAATAGAAGATAATGTCTATAAAGAACTAAAAAGTCATGTTTATAAATCCCAGCCTGTATTGGAACTCCATAGTGTTAGTTCCCTTTCCTAATGTTACATTATTCAGATAATTTAGGGGAAAATTATGCTGTATTATAGGTGTTTTACTATGTAACTATTTGAGATTTCAAAATTATATTTGACTTTAACTAGATCAAAGAAAAGCAACAACGAACACAACCATCTGTCTGAGCCACTTGAACTAGTGAGAAACTTGAGTGGTAGGTGTTTGATAATGGAGAAGCTTTTACACACCTGTGTGGGAGGTTGGGAAAATTGCTCTAAAGGAGTACTGTTGTCCATGAAGCAGGAAATTGAATATATAGGCAGTTCCTAGGATCTACCATAGGAAAAACCAAAAGCATATGCTTTCTTCATTGCTATTTCTTGAAACTTCTATGTGATTTAAGCCTTGATGCCCATTTTGTGCCAGATCTTACTCTTATTCAACAGGAAGTGGATGCTTTGGAAGAACTAAGCAGGCAGCTTTTTCTGGAAACAGCTGATCTATATGCTACCAAGGTACAAGGCAAGGAAACGGAAGTGTGGTTTTTACCAGTATGATTGAAGAAAGAACAAGACTAAATAGCTTTTTAGTGTCCTCTCTGGCCAAGCAGTGCAAGAAAGACCTCATAGCTCCAGTATCAGCCATGAAGCTTTAGGAGTCTGCATTCTTCATGACATTGCTCCTACCCCCAGCAAAATTCTTACTCAATAACAGAAATTAGTGGGATATTTGAGAGGTTTTTCAACTTTGGAAGGTGACACATACCACTTCTGATTCAGGGTCAAGATGGTAGCTCCTGATTGTTTTTTATTCCCTTATAAATTAGTAATATTGTGAGAGCAGTGCCATGATCTAGCCATGTTTTAAAAAATCCAGATCAAGGGGCACCTGTGTGACTCAGTTGGTTGAGTGTCCGACTCTTGATTTTGGCTCAGGTCATGATCTCAGGGTCATGAGATTCAGCACTGTGTCAGGCTCTGCACTGGGTGTAGAGCCTGCTCAAGATTCTCTCTCTCTCCCTTTCCCCCTGCCCCTCCCCCTGCAAGGCCCCCTCCCCCAGGTCTCTTTCTCTCTCTTAAAAAAAAAAGAAAGGATCCAGATCAAGAAGTGACCTAACTATGAGAAGTAACTTTCCTATTTACACCTAAAATACAATATAATTTAAATATGCAAAATCTATTAGTTAAGTTCATTCAAACTATTTTTATCCTTTTCAAGGATCACTTCATAGGAATAGCCATATAGGGTAGAGGTTAACATAGGCTTTGAAGACAGACCTGAGCCGAAATTCCCCTACTCACTAGCTGTGTGACCTTGGGCAAGTTATCTAACCCCTGTTAAGTCTCAGTTTTCTCATGTGTACAATTAAGATAATAGAACATGTAAGAGTTGTTATAAAAATTAAAATAGATAATGTATGTAAGATGTTTATCCCAATTTCAGGCTTAAAGTAAGCATTCAATAAATGTTGCCCACTAGTATTATTTTAAGATTAATATCACGTGTGGGTTTTTCACTCCAGCATAACAGTAATTTCATAGAGGCTGGAATGTTTTGGTTGAGCATAAGTTTACATTTTGCTGAGACTAACCATGTTTTGTTGTTTGTTTTCCCTCAGGAGAGAATAGAATACTCAAAAACTTTCAAGGGGAAATACTTTAATTTTCTGGGTTACTTTTTCTCTATTTACTGTGTTTGGAAAATTTTCATGGTAAGTATATTAGTTTTAACTGTCAGGGTTTAGGTTATTTTCCCCGCTAATGGCAGAGAGAAAAATGGGTTTGACTGAGGCCCTGAACTAAATTCCAAATCCAATTGAGTCAACAGAGAATGCTGTCTTTCACATCCCTGAGCCTGACTCCTCCCCCTCTCTTTTTTAGGTCACCTAGAGGTTGCATTTTTCTTCATTCAGAAATCATTAATAAGATCATAGTTTATAAACTATATGAAGGGAGTACAAAAGTTTCTTATTTTTGTACTGCTTTCTGTATTACCCTTGAGTATATCTATGTGACACAATCCCTACCTTCAGCTCAGAACAGAAACCACTTCTCCTTTTTAGTAATCTGTATTTACCTAAAAAAAGTTCAATCCAAAGTAAGTGCTACAAGTAAAACATATTTCTAGAGATAAATTCATTTTATGTGCTTATAGCTCTCATTCTTTTGTGGCTCTCTCTTAATGCTCTCTTCTTTATGATGAGGGAACAGAAGGCAAGCTGAAGACAAAGCAGAAGCTGACACCCCACAACTCCCCCTCCATGGGATCTATGTGGCAGTCCTCAGGCACTCCTGGCTGCCCTAAAGGAAAACTTACAGAGATCACAATCCTACAAGACAGGAGTCTCCCTCAGTTTACAAATGTCTTAGCAATCTACAAGAACAAAGCATTTCTATCAATGGCCTAGCTTCCAGAAGGGAATGTAGATACAATTAAATGTCCTTATAATCTGCAGCCCATTGATAGATACTTAAAGCGGGCAAAGTATAATGTCTCCAGGAAGCTCCCAACTATCTTACTGTTAAGCCTTACTAGAAGGAAGAACAACCTTAAATTGACAATGACAAAGCCTGTGGTATCCTGTGAGTCTTCTTTAGCATACAAAAATCCTTTTGAAACCTCCCTTTTCCTTAAATCCCCCAACTCCCACCCCTCACAACCCCAGGGCAGCAGCTCTTTCTGCCCATGGGTCCTGTCCCTGTGCTTTAATACACCACCATTTTGCACCAAAGACATCTCAAGAGTTCTTTCCTAGTCGTCAGCTCCAGACTCCATCCCACTGAACCTCAGTTATATTCTAAAACTTCATCATTTATAGGCATTTTATGTACATTCTTCTTGTGACTCATCTGTAGATATTCATGGATTTCAGTGTGATTACAGAAAAGGCTGATGGACTTTCTGGTTCTGTGACTTTCCTACTGGGGCTGTGTTTGCACAAAGAGGAGCTTTATCAGCTTGTTAATTGTGGTCAATATAGATGAATGGAAGATTCTGGATTTTAGTAGATCTATGATAGATCTAGATCTTTATAGTTTGAGATTTTTACATTTAGGTATATGATCCATCTGGAGTTAATTTTCTCAGACGATGTTGGAATGTGGATCCAAGTTCATTTTTTTCATATAGATATCCACTTGTTCTAGCATATATCTAGCATATAATATTATGATATTATAATAAATTGATGTCAATACCTATTCGGAGAACAATTTTTAAACCTTGATTCATTTAGTGGAAGAAGATAAATGAAGATAGTATGTTCAATTAGCTAAGCTACTAAAAAGTTTTTCCTGAGTTGTAGACTTTAGGGGAGCATATCCTTTTTTAGCAGCTTTATTGAGGTGTAAGTGACATTTAATAAACTGCACATATTTAAAGGGTATATAGTTGGGTAAGTTTTGACAGATGTATACACCTGTTACAACAACTATCACCACACTTAAGATAGTGACCATATCCATCCATCACTTCCAAAAACTTTCTTGTGCCCCCTTGTAATGTCCCCCCCTTGTAATGTCCGTCTCATACATCCCCAGTCAACCACCAATCTGCTGTCATTATACATTAGTTTATATTTTCTAGGACTTTATATAAATGAAATCTTAGAGTAAGTACCCTTTTTCTGTCTGATAGCTTCTACTCAGCATAATTATGTTTCTTTCATGTTATCGTGTGATCAATAGTTTATTCCTTCTCATTGTTGAGCAGTATTCCGTTGTGTGATTATACCAGAATTTGTTTTATCTGTTCACCTGCTGATGGGTATTTGTTTCCGTTTTGGGGATATTACAAATAAAGCTGCTATGAACATTTGTGTACAAGTTTGTATGTGGACATATACTCTCTTCTTGGGAGAAAACACTTAGGTATAGCATGGCTAGGTCACATGGCAGATGGATGTTAAACTTTTGAAGAAATGGCCAAACTTTTCCAAAGAGGTTGTACTATTTTACATCCCCACCTGCATTATTTGAGAGTTTCATTTACTCCACATCCTTGCTCACATTTTATAGTCAGTCTTTTAAATTTTAGACATTCTAATAGGTATGAGGTGATATTGATTGTTTAATTTGCATTTCTCTAATGCCTAATGGTACTAAACAACTTTTCATGTGCTGATTTGCCACCTGTATATTTTGGGGGGGAGGGGAGATACAGCTATTGAAATTTGTTGCCCAATTTTTAAATTAGGATTTCTTTTTATTGGGTTTTGCAAGTTTTTCACTATATTCTGGAAACCCTTTATCAAATATGTGATTTTCAAATATTCTCTCCCAGTCACTAGCTTAGCTTGTCATTCTCTGCATAGTGTCTTTCAAAGAATTGAATTTTTTAATTTTGATGAAGTCCATTTTATCTTTTGTTTTCTACTATAGGTTATGCTTTTGGTGTTGTACCTAAGAAATCTTTGCCTAACCCAAGGTCACAAAGATTTTTTTCATCTTTTATTCTATAAATTTTATAGTTTGAGATTTTTACATTTAGGTATATGATCCATCTGGAGTTAATTTTCTCAGATGATGTTGGAATGTGGATCCAAGTTCATTTTTTTCATATAGATATCCACTTGTTCTAGCACTGTTTGTTGAAAAGATTATCCTTTCTCATTCAGTTGACTTTGCAATTTTGTCAAAACCTAAGTGACCACATATGGTTGGGTCTGTGTCTGTACTCTGTTCTTTCCAATTGATATGTATGTCTGCCTTTATTTATGCCATATAGCACTCTGTCTTGAAATAAGTCTTGAAATCAAATCGTTTAAGTACTCTTTGTTCTTTCTTTAAACTTGTTTTGGCTATCCTGTGTCCTTTACATTTCCATATGAATTTTAGAATCAGCTTTTTAATGCTGCTGAATACAAAAATATCTGCTGAAATATGTATTAGAATGTCTGAATCTTCAGATCAATTTGAAGAGAAATGACATCTTAATATTGAGTCTTCCAATTGATAAACACAGTGTAACTCTTCATTTATTTAGATCTTCTTTAGTTTCACTCAGCAATGTTTAGGTTTTAGTGTACAGATCTTTTACATCTTTCATCAGCTTTATCTCAAGTATTTAATATTTTCGGTGCTATTATAAATGGGACTGTTTTTATAATTTCAGTTTCTGAGTGTTTCTAGTATATAGATACACAACTGATTCTTGTCTGTTGATCTTCTATTTTCACAGCCTTGCTAAATCCCCTTATTCTAAAAGCTTTTTATAGATTTCATAGGATTTTTTCCTACATAGACAATCAGATCTCTGCAAATGAAGACAGTTTTGCTTCTTTGTTTCCTATCTGGATGCCTTTTATTTCTTCCCTTCCTTTCCCTTCCTTTTCTGTCCCCTCCCATCTTTCTTCTTTCTTCTCCTCCTTTAGCCTTATTGCACTGATCAAAATCTCCTGTACAAAATTAAACAGAAGTGGTAAGAGCAGTCATCCTGATCTTGTTAAATATGGTGTTAGCTGTTGGCTTTTCCTAGATGCCCTTTAGCAGGTTGAAGAAGTTACTTCTACTCATAGTTTATTGAATGTTTTTGATCATGAAAGTGTGTTTGATTTTGTCAAATGCTGTTTCTGCATCTATTGAGAGGAGCATATGACTTTTCCTTTTTAGTCGACTGATATAGTGAGTTACATTGATTAATTTTTTAATATTAAACTGGCCTTGAATTCCTGTAATAAACCTTACTTGGCCGTGGTGTATGTTGTTGGATTTAATTTACTAACATTTTCCTAAGAATTTTTGCATCGATGTTTATGAGAAATATCAGAGTATAGTTTTCTTGTAATGTCTTTGGCTTTGGTGTCAGAGTAATGCTGACCTTAGAGGTTGAGAAGAATTCCTTCCTCTTCCAATTAGTGGGAGAGTTTATATGGAATTATTATCATTTCTTTCTTAAACATTTGGTGGAATTCACCAGTGAAGGCATCTAGAGTCTTCTTTGCAGGAAAATCGTTTAGCTACACAGATTTAATTTCTTTAATAGATAAGAAGGTTTGTTGAGATTATATATTTCTTGAGTGAGCTTTTATAATTTCTGTCTTTAAAGGAATTCGTCCATTTTTATTAAAGTTGTCAGGTTTATTAGCATAAAATTGCTCTTAATATTCCCTTATTATCCTTTTACTATCTATAAAATCTGTAGTGATGTCACCCCTCTCCTCTTTATATAACACCTTTATTGAGATATTCACATACCGAAAAATTCACCCGTTTCATGTACAGTTTGGTGGTTTTTAATATATTCACAGAGTTGTGCACACATCAATACAATCACCCCAGAAGAAATTCCATACCCATTAGCAGTAATTCCTTATTTCTTCTCTAGATGTAGGCAGGCACTAATCTATTTTATGTCTCTAGATTTTCTATTCTGGATATTTCATGTACATTGAATCATACAACGTGTGGTCTTTTGTGATTAGCTTCTTAGTAAAAGTTTTTAAGGTTCATCTATATTGTAGCCTCTATCAATACTTCATTCCTTTTTATGGATGAATAATATTCATTCCATGATATGGATATGCCACATTTTATTTATCTGTCCATCAGTTGAGAAACATTGGGTTGTTTCAACTTTTTGGCCATTATAAATGATGCCGTTGTGAGCATTTATGGATAAATTTTTATGTGGGTATATGTTTTCATTTCCCTTAGGTACATGCCTGTGAAAGTAAAATTGCTGGGTCATATGCTACCTCTATGTTGAACCTTT